GCTACAGGCACAAAGTCTACTAGTAGATGCTACATATGTGGAGCGACCTCGAAAGATTTTAATAAATTGGACTTTACAAGAGAGGTGAATTTTGCAGCCCTTGAATTCGGCATATCAGTGTTACACGCAAGAATTCGAATTTTTGAAAGTATCCTTCATTTAGCGTACAAACTTAAAGTGAAAAAATATAGAGAAAGAAAATCAAAAGAGGAGAAAGATCTAGAAGAACAAACCAAAAGAGAAATACAAGCAAGGTTTCGCTCTGAAACAGGTCTGATAATAGATATGCCTAAATCAAATTTTGGAAATACAAATGATGGCAATACTAGCAGAAGGTTCTTTGAGAACCCGAAATTAGCCTCAGAAATAACTGGTATCAGTTATGAATTAATTTATAGACTGAAAGTCATATTGGAAGCAATTTCAAGCAGGTTCCAAATTGACCATATTAAATATGAAAAATATGCTTCAGAAACTGCTTGTCTTTATGTGAATTTATATGATTGGCATCCCATGACTCCAACAATGCACAAGATTTTAGTCCATGGCGCAGTCATCATCGAAAAGGCATTGTTACCAATCGGACAGCTTTCCGAGGAAGCAGCTGAGGCTCGCAATAAACATTTCAGATGTTACTGCCAAGATTTTGCGAGGAAATTTTCGAGAGAAAGCTGTAATCAGGATATTTTTAACCGCCTTCTGCTAAGTTCAGATCCTATGCTAAGTAGCATGCGAACTATAAAAAAAAGGAAAGCAAGCACATTTTTGCCTGAAACCTTAGCCATGTTTGTATCTGCGAATGCAAATACATCAGATAATTCATCAGAGAGCGACGAAGAAAATCAAGAAACTTAACATTAATTTTCTGTTTTTTAAGTACCGATAAAAAAGTAATTTTGTAATGGTTTTTGTATAAAAAATATATTGTTTTTTGTGAAAAATTGTTTTTTTTATTATTTACATTCTTTAGATAGCAATTAAGCAAAAAAATAATTTTGGCCGCGTAGATCGGGCAAATACCTGTATGTGCGGCGACACCATGCAACCCGGCCCGGCGTACAAACCACTCGGCCACAGAGGTCGTCCAATTATTATTGTCAACTCAGATTACTTGGTTGTCCATTAATATAAAATGCATTAGTAAATAGTCTAAACAAACCTATTAATCCTACTTCCTTCTAATATTATAAATATGAATCTACGTGTGCCAAATTTTATCCAAATCTGTTCAGTTGTTATTGTGTTACTGATTAACAAATATACTAACTTTTATGCTAGCACTTCACATGGCTATTTGTCATTCATTTAACAGCAGCATCCCTAGTACCTTTAGAGTACAATACAGTCTATACCAGGGGGCCATTCTCCTAATGGAAATGCTTTGGAAAATGCTAACGCTTACGATTTCATTTTGGTATTTCCAAAGCATTTCCGTTAGGCGAATGGCCCCCAGAGATGGGTAGACTACAGCCCATAGGATTACCATTTCACAAGATTTGTCCATTTTTTAAAGACTTCTCAGGATTGTGTTATTTATTTTTATGGGGAAAATAATTTATTAAATTTTTATTTATCAAAATTTTAATATGTAACAATATTAACTCAGTTAAGGAGATTTTGATGTATGTTGTTGATATTATGGGATACTGACTACTGCAAATGTTTAAAAATTTCAAGCAGCTAGTAGCAGTACAAGGGTTTTTTTGGTATTGTTACTGAACTTCTTAATCATTATTATTACTTAAGATTTTAAACATCTGTTCTCCAGCTACAGGTACTAATTATGTTATAAATACATTAATGAAAACCTGTTATTAGCCTTACAAGTAGTAAATATATTTGGATATCTATATTATTCAAACACTGTTGGGGTTCTTAAATAAATAAAATACTAAAAACCAATTTAGTTCTATTAAACATTTGTAATATACTATCAGATTTTGTTCAACTTTTATAACATATGGTAAAGACAAAAATAAAGGGGGAGTACATATTTTAGCCATTGACTATAGTCATCATTGTAATTTCGATTTTCCTTTTGATCTGCAAATTTTATGCTTTTGTTATTTTGAACAATGCATAAAAATGCATTGTTCAAAGTTGTGTTATAGACAAGTTTTACAATTATTATTATGTGACAAAATGCCATCCTACTGGAAAAATTAGTTGTTTTTAGACATTCCGCAAAAACACACCAAATGCTGGTAAATAGATTACAGTTTACTGCCATGCGCAGTCCTATCAACTAGTAGAACTCATCATAGAACAACACAGACCTTAAGATTTTTTTCTCCATTAATTTCTATTAGTAGGACAGAACAACATTTTTCATCCATTCAGTTCTACTAATCCAAAATTGATTAATCACCAAATAATATCAAAATGCTTATCTAATTGTATTAATTAAATTTAACTTGAAATAATATAAATCACCGAATAAATGTAAAGGGTTTCAAAATAAAGGAAGTGTTACTGAAATTTTGTCATCAAACAATGTAAAAATGTTTACTGAAAAATAATTTATAATCACTGAAAGACCTGAAACACAATGATATATAATTAAATTAAACTACCATAGGTTTTTCTAGCGATCAAAAATCAAACTGAACTGAACTCAAAAAGTGTGCAGGAACTTTTTTTAGTGTTTAGTTTTTGTGTATGTGTGTGTGTATTGTGTGTAGTAACTAAATCCATTGCAGGAAGTTCTAAGAAAAGGGAAGCTGTTTTGATCACAACACTAAGATAATGTAACCTAGCGATTTCTATGTTAAATGACTGACTATAAAACACAACTTGGCTTATTCCAAAGCAATTTTAAAAATAAAATAAAAATCAATTTTAGTTCAGGTTCAACTTGAGTCTACGTTTTGTAATAAGGCACAGCAAGGTCAAAACTAGCACTTCACTTAATTCTTTAGGCAAATCAGTGATTAAGATTGGTTCATTTTGATAGCCCGTCAATTTACCTGACAGGCCCCCTTAATACAGTTAAATTAGATTAATTGTTCAGATTTCTACAGTAAATGTATTGTGATCAAAACCATTTTAAGTTTGAAATGGTATACTGTGTAAAAAAGTTTTGGACATTTTAAGAGAAATGGTCATTGATTTAGTTGAAAGATAAACATGCAATATTTCCAATACTTTAAATAATACAAAATTAAAAATTTATATAAGTTGTAAATGAATAGCCACAAAAAATTTCAGTAAAATCTCTGTTGTCGGTTTTGTTACATATAGTAATTTATACTTTCTGTCAAAGTGTGTAGAATAGTTATAAATATAGACATTATGAATATGTATGTACATCATTAATATTTCAGGTGACTATTATGTAAGCAATTTGATTAACAATAATTATTTTTTATATACATTAACTAATACTATATCTTGATGAGCTTTTTAATTTAAGTAGTATTTTTAATTGTAAATAAAAATTCATATTTGGAAACTTTTAACTTAATTGTTCCCCACAACTTATTTCAAGTAAATAATTATAAATAATGTTGGTGAAAATACCTGTATTTTTAAGTGGTAAACATTTATATTGTAGAAGCTATACAGTACAGTGTATGAAATTATTTGCGAAAGTAATATTGTCATAAGTGATCTACTTACCAAGCTTAGATTCCCTAACTGGTGATTATTTCACAAGTTTGTAAAATAGTAAATGTGGTAAACTACAGAGACATTACTGTAATAGTTTCTTTTTAGTATTAATGATCCGATGCTTCTGACTATAATATACCTACATTCTGATTTAGGATTAGTGTTATTAGTGTTAGAGTAGGGGAGTGTTGTATAGTAGTGTGTTTTGATCTCTTTAAGCATCTTTAACTGTCATGTCATCTTTTGAATATACTTTTCACAAGTTGTTACAGAAAGAAACATAATGTTTTCCATATTACATGTTTATTATTATATAACAGGTGTTATAAACAGAAACTTGATACTAATCAGTTATGAATGGAGTGTGGGAGAGGGTTCTTACAGTGCATGATAGAATAATTATTTTGTGGAAGTTAAAAAACAATGTACTGCAAAAGTTTAATTGATCACTATAGTTTGTTCACAATATAAAGCATTTCTATGATTTCTTCCTAATAATTGAACAGTAATTTTTTAACTTCTTCTTTCTTTAAATGGCTATTATAGCCATTTCATAAATAATATATCTATAATACAAATATTTTTTTTTTATTATATAATGATTTTATTCATAAAATTTATATAAATGCTTAAATGTAGAATAACTTTACAAAAATCAACTATTTCTTACATGGTAACATGACTTAAAGGAAAATCTGTAGCAAAACTTAAAAGATGTATTAATCAGCTGATTTTGTCAGTAAATAGCACAGACACTCTGTATTTTAAACTCGGTTCAATAGAATAAAGGCTGTTCTAAATAATAATACCCAAAGATATCACTTGAAATGTCAAATGCCATGACCTCTTTATATTCAATGCCTCACCCTCTGATAATTGGCAGTAATACATAAACGGGATAGGGCACTACAATAGCATTGATGTGAGTTTAATAGTAGTAAGAAGATGATGGTCTGCTTGTTAGAAACTAATAAATATTTATAACCTATTAGTTTTATGTAAAGATAATTTTGTGTTTTGAATAGCATAGGTACAATAAAGCAGTAACACCAAGTTTATACGAAACTTGAGGTTCAGGGGCCTTGAGTGAATGAAAAACCTGACATATTTTCGTAAACCAGATTTACCAGAAGCTCCATATCAACACAAAGATATATGACATAAATGCCATGGTAGAAAGCCAAAAATTGTTTATATTCTTGAAATAAGACTCCACGTGGTAGAAGACTATATAAAATAACATAAATAGAATTGGAAACATGATACTGCCTGAAATATCTGATGCTAATAACTTTTAAAACTTTTGGAAGTACCTATCAGGGGACATGACGATTATGGGATACATAACCGTCAAATTTTATACGTTAGAGCTCAAAATGTTGATGACTCACCGAATGTTTTAAATTCCAATAATGTTAGCGGGAAGCCTGTCCATTACTGTTCAGCACAATGAAACAGAAAATACGGGATACCACCCTGATCTAATCATTCACTAATTTCAAACACTAATCCTAAACTAAACATTGCTACATTTACACCAGCAAATGAAATTTTTACTTGAATGCTACCTGTACACTTTTTTATCACCAAAATGCACTTGTTCACACAAAAAGTAATGCAATTTCACACACAAATGCCACTCTTGGAAGACCGACGGTCGGAGGAGCGGGGGCGGGTGGGTGGCAGCAGCAAGCAAGCCAAAGCAATAAAATAACTACCATTCATTCAGGGTTCACGATATGATTTTAAAATATCTACCAAATACGAACAAAAATGAAGTCTTTCTAGACCTACACCTTAAAAACTAGACACAGGATTTTTTGAAGTGGAAACAAATTAGACGCATTGGGCTTTTTTGAGATAGGAAAAGACCAACCAACTCGCTACACCACCGTGCACCATGATCGAACGGCTCGACTAATTCTTAAAATTCTTTGTTAATATAAATTACTTAACTTCGTTCACTCTCAAGAACACAAGACTTCTTGCACTCCACGACCCGAGGCCTCACTTCCCACATCCAGTTTATGTTCAAAATTTTGCTAATGCCGTCAGTCCGACGCTTTGTTTGCCTTCCCTCCATGGCAATCTTAAGAGACCGCTGGGCGGTTTCTAGTGTATAAAGTACCTAGGTATAATATGATGTGCATTAATTTCGTCGCTCCAGTGCTTGTTTGTTCTATACACCATAGGGTTAATATCACAGGAGACGAGGTATCATTCTATTTAAAAAAATATATCATGTCAAGATTTTTAGGGCGTTAATAATACATGAGCACCTAATGAATTAGTGTTGAAACTTCAGTCTATGGATGGTAATTAATTATACCTTAGTTGACAGTTTTTTTTGTGCAGATAGAAGAAAGATGCACAAACAAAAAATGTGATGTGGGCTTAAAAAATTGAAGAGAATTTACTATGTGACCATTTCATTATTACGTGCTTGATTGTTCTATGCAACGATATTAAATACCCTAGATACAACATCACGAACAAAATCGTGACCACAACGTGTACAAACGGTATATTCGTTTACACGCTTGCCAAGCTTTGGCAAACGGCAAAAAGCCCCAAGCCTCCACAAATCTCGTTTGGCGTTTGAAAGGCGTTTACACGCTTGTGAATGCGTCAGTCTGCAACATACATCCAAGCATGGCGGACACCGAACTTGTGACGGCTATTGCATTTGGTTTAACATACTTTTATTTGTATTGCAAGCAAAGTGAAACAAAAAAAAATGGTTGCCTGTAAAGTCGGTTTTACGGGCGAAGATTTTACGTGACAACGTCTTTTTCTCGGTAGAATATTTATTGATATGAATATAATTAAATTGCACAATAGGAACAAGGAATTGAATGAAAATAAGAATTGCACAAATTTTAACTATAGAAATATATTTTGTTTACTAAAACATTGTACATGTAAACTTAAACTTAACACGAGAGACTCATCGTAACGTTACCGAGCGTTACACTTTTTCATAAGTGACTCCCAGCCGCAACCTAATTTAAGACGTTGTCACGTCAAAAAGGAGAGCTCGACGACATCAATATCTCCTTTTTATTTTTTATTTCCTTTACTGGCCTTCCGGTTAATTCAGCAAGACGAATCCATGCATCTGCTTGTTTCTTCTTATCTTTATGATTTGCATCTTTCGGATTCCAGATGCAGGATTCCATCTGGTAATGTTCCAGAAACGAAAGACTCTCCTCATTCGACCAGCCACTCATTTTTTATTTTTTTGTATAATTAAGCAATTGTGTACTCGCCGCGAGATCACAATGGCTACTAAACGAGGACCAACATGTAAATACGTCGCAAGCGCTTGCCGCAAACGCCCTTTGATCTGCGTAAAAAAACCGACACTCGACTGGATCGTAAGCAAGCACCCACAAGCTCACGCAAGCCAAGCCAAACGCCCTTTTTACATGCTTGCGAATGTCGAGACTTGCCAAGGCTTGGCAAGCGTGTACACGTACCATAAGATGATCGTTCGGTCAAAAACAATATAATGATTTTATTTATTTTTAAGCATTTAACTGCTAGATGTTTAAATCTAAAGAAAACTTTTCTTTAGATTTAAACATCTAGCAGTTAAATGATTAAAAATAAATAAAATCATAACTATAATTGCCATTTCTTCTTTCAAATGTTTAATACTTGAAAAGGTATTCATTTTGACATTGTGGGTTACCTACAATGAGAAGAGATGGCGCTGCCTTGCAGCTTAACGCTAGGAAAATTTCGACGCGGCTAATAGGGCCGTGGTAGCATAATGGTCAGTGCATTCGCCCGGATTGCGAAGGATGCGGGTTCGAGTCCCGTCCGCTGCCTGGTCCGCGTGGATTTTTTTTCTAGTAAACTTTTCTTTAGATTTAAACAATATAATGTATTATTTAAACATTGAAAGCCACCTTTAATGCATACTGCATAAAGTCTTAATTAAAACATATGCGCAGTGCTGCCATATCTACCAACTTTTTGGTAGATCTACCAATTTTCACTTCAATCTACCTATCTACCACCCTAGACCTAAAAACTACCTATTTTTTAATTGGTTTGACATATCACCACTTTGAATTATTTTATATCACCACTTTGAATTATTTTTATATCGACGAGCGACGTTGCGATGTATGGGTGCGGCCAGAGTGCACTCAGATTCAGATTCAGATTCCGAAAACAAGCGCGAGAAATAAACAGTGTAGTCGAAGGGTACGGCCAGAGTGCACTCCTGATTCAGATTCAGATTCAGACTCAGCAAACAAAGCGCGAGAAAAAGCAGGCAACCTGCTTAGACTACACTGTTTATTTCTCGCGCTTGTTTTCAGAATCTGAATCTGAATCTGAGTGCACTCTGGCCGCACCCTATTGCGTGAGCCATGCAACGATGCGTCAAGCATACATAGAGTCCAGGCCATAAACCACAAAAAAAATACGTCAGCAACAGTTCGCCATTCGCACAATTTCGCGCAAAAATTTTCTATTCCTACTGTGGCCTATTCCCGGTTGGTTTGTTGCGGAATCAATGTTGAATCTTTGCTCCTGTTTTATTGTAAAAACTAATTAACTGCGTATTAACGGTGCTGATTGCTGTTTGTTCTATGTTGCGTGCATTTATTTATATAATGGATTCTGACAGCAGCGAAAGCGATGCACATAGTTCTAGGTTAGGAACTCCGCCACGAAAACCTGGAAAAAGGCACTGTGACCAAAAATATTCAAAATTATGGGAGAAAGACAAGGAATTTGCAGGTTGGCTTCAAGAAATTACTCAGGGTGACGGATATTTTTATTGCAAATCATGTAGTTGTGATCTGAAGTGTGCTCTGGATTGCATTGCATGCATTTTTAATCTTAAAAAATCTTCTAAATTGAGGTGGTAGATCTACCAATTTTGCATTGTACATTCTACCAACTTCTACCAACATTTGGCACATAATCTACTAATTTTCTAAAATTCGGGTTGGCAGCACTGCATATGCGTCAAAGATCTGTCATGTGAAATTATGACAGTTCGAAATGTAAGCTCGTAAAATGTACTCGCAATTCTGAATGCGCTGTTAGCAATATAGCAAGTACGGACCGCGAGGACAAGAGACGACTATATAACCGACCATGCATTTGAATATTACAAATATTTTCTATTAAATCAGTTTATAGTAAGTATTAAAATTTGCTTCGTATGTGTTAAATTAACAAACATTGATGTCGATTCTGGTATGATTCTCTAAAGCTAAACTTAAATTTGACAACAGTGTATCTTTGTCAATCTCTATACAGAATGAAAAGGACAGACTGATGTTAAATTTAGTTTTAAGTTTAGAGAATCCTGCCAGAATTGACACCATTGATTAAATACCTTTCGATAAATTTGTACCAAGTGCGCAAATTGGTTTGTCATGTAATGTACACACAACACAATGTCTCGAGACAAAAGTGTGTGGTTCGCCGAAGAAATCCTTTTAGATGCCAAACTTATCAACTTCCAATTAGAGACCGGAGAATGGGATGCTGTAGAGGAAATGTTACGTGCCGAGGCACAACTTTCCAGAGATGCAGAAACAGGAAGATTGCGTCCGTAAGTGTTCACGCAGGTTGAAAAGTAATTGAGTTTCCATCTGCCTTGTTTAATTGTTATTAATCTTTCATTTGCAGTAAAAAAGCGTCAGAATACACATTGCGTCTTATAGCAGAAGTATTACATATCATGCGGTTGGATGTAGAACAGGCTTCCTACAACCGCAGCACTCTTGCTGTTGCTGAGCAATGCCTCCGCCTCGTGCGGTCTTGTGCTGCTGCAGGCACCAAGATGCAGACATATATTTCCAAAGAATTGTCAATACTTGACTCAATGTTGATATTAGCCACAGAGTACCAACACCCCAATGTGGAGTTCCTTAATGAAGAGTTGCAAAAGAAATATGAGGCATGTATGACTGTTCTCATGCAAACATTAGGAAATCTAGTTGTGAATAATCCATTCAATCAGATAATGATCTGGAATAAGTTTGATGCCATTATACTTAACGGTTTAGTTGGGCAAAATGATAAAATTGCATCGGCTGCCGCAATGATAGTATACAACATATTGTTGGGTCAGCCAAATGTGCTGCCTGATGATGTTTCCCTCCTTAATTCCTTAGCATTCATGTATAACAATGGCAATACTGAATATCCACATTTGATTATTGAGTATCTAATTGGTGTTGAGAACACTTATATTGAAAAATTATATTCTAAGCTGGACCCAGAATGTCGAATTCTGGTGTTGAATCTTGCATATAATATTCTTATGTCAACAGAGTCACAGGACATTAATGTATCTGTGAACTTTGTTAAATTCATGGCACATGAATTCAAAAGTAAATCAGATTGTATTTTAAAGACTGTTGATAAATATGTAAATAGCATAGAGCCACAAGAGGTGGTGTTTTTACTTGAAATCATTGCTACAGCTTCTAGTATGGATGCTTATATGGACTGCTTGCAAGGAGACACTTCCCTTTTCATCAACTGTGCATGTGAGTATTTATGATAAATATATAATATCATCATTGTACAGCAAAAACCCAGTAAATTGAAATAAGTTCATAATACAATATCAACTCAGTTTTTTGTTTGCGAAAAGTCAATTTTATATTATCAACTAATTTCGATGTAACAGTTTTTAACAACAATATATATCTTTCCATGCATAATTTATTTCATATTAGTAAATAGCATTTTATTCTCATCTTTTATCTTGATAAATTGGTGGGGTAGTTAATTTTTTAACAAGAATAATTAAATATACCCTTAGTAAATATACTGCATTTGATTCTTTTGTTTGTAAATGCAATATATTTTTTGCTATTATATTTTGGACTTTTCACAGTTTTACTTCGAGCAATACACAAGCTTGGCAAAGAGAGTAGCAACTTTTTTTCTTCAATCAATAAACTTTATGCTGCCACTGGCAAATATCTTGTGAATGATGAAAACTTAAACTCGAATCTATCTCCTGAAAGTAAGTATCTAAATTATGTATCTACTTCCATGATTATTAATACATTTTATCTCAGTGCTAAGCTATGAAAAAATATTGAAATTAGAAGTTAAATGTGTATTTTTTTATTTTAGAAAATATAAATAGAATTTCATTAATTATATACATTGAAACATTTACATAAATAAATAAAGTTTAAATCTTCTTAGTATTTAAAAACTTAAAATCAGAATAATCTTAATGCTTACCTATTTAAATAAATATGCTATTTACAGATATTTTTTTTGTTATTTTTTAAGATCCACTAACCAAAAATGATTCGGCTGAGAACATGCTTTCCTGCAATGAGACAACCTCAGAATGCACAGAGTCAGAAAGTAGTGAACAGTATTTTGAATGTAGTGACAACATAACATACATAGAGAAGTTTGACAATGTAAATACTTTAGAAAATCTACACCAACCTCATAAGTTTTTAGAAACAGTTCCCAATGGGAAAAATGGCAACGGTGATCCTAATGTCAAGATAGACAATGACTTGTCTAAAGTGGCTTACAAAAGAAGTCAGTCTGTGCCAAAAGCCGATGATCGTATCCATCATCTGCCAACAAGAAGAATTAGTCTGGAGCATAAAATAGATATAGGTGATGATACAGAACCACCATTGATTATAGATGCCTCTTCACCAAATGGTAGTATGAATACTATTGCCGAAGTTATACCAGTAGCATTACAACCCCGCTTAGATTTGCAAGGCACCAGTGCCCCTGATTCACAAGAGAGCTCACCAAACGATCCACCCACAGAAATTCATTTAATCAAGGAAGAGGTGAAATCTGATATAAAAGCATCACCAAGTGAAATATCTCCTCCTTTGGCAGACTTACCTCTTGAAACAGAATCACAAAAGAAGTCACCAGAAACACCCAAAGAGATAAAGAAAAGTCAAAATCTATCCACAGACTTTGATTTGAGTGAACAGTTGCAAAAGATATTGGGTATATCTTCTGAGAAAACAAGGGGGGATAGTTCTAGTGCTGATAAAAAGAATGAACCAATAAAAGAAGTGAAAATATCAGATGAGAATCTTGTTAACAAAGTGCCTTCAGTTAAAATAGATTCACCTGAAAGCCATAAAACAAGGTAGGCTGAATGGCAAACATCAAAATGATTTTATTCTCATATAATATTTGTAGAGTATTTGACTTAGTTTTGATAACAGTTTTTTTATCAATAAGTTTTTTTCTTCTCTATGTTGACCAACCTTAAGAACTTAATCATTCAAAATTATGAAGTTACTTTATAGCTCAGTGTGACCTAAACCCGCACTTTACGCACGCTTTTCCGTGACCTAAGTTGCCTATTTCTGCACGGTGTGTAAATGAATTGACCAACTTCACTCATGTAGAATTAGTACATTACGATACGCGTAACTTAACTTTACTATGCCAATCAAGGAATAAACGTTCATGGATACATTGAAATTCTATTTTGTTGTAATGATATTTGATTTTTTCCTTTTGAAATATACTTTCAAAATGGTAATCTGAATCTTTGTGAAAATCTGCAATTCTTTGTGATTGCAATACATGATTTTTACTTTCAAAACACTAATCGCATCCCTCGGGAACCCCCCCCCCCTCTTGGCCGCGTCCGGGGCGGGTTTATGTCACACTTGCTATAAAATAGTATACGATACTTGTGGCCTAAGTTGTCTATTACTGCACGGCGTGAAGTTAGCGCCCGAGCGGAGCGAGGGTGCTAAACGCCGTGCAGTAATAGGCAACTTAGGTCACGCGTATCGTAATGTACTATTACTATCATGTAAGTTGCAGTTAGCTTCCCCAGCACTCGGTCTCTAATCCAAGCAGGAAATCTGCATTGATTGATTTTTTCTTTGATGGCTCCTTCGGATGTAGCTATATTGCAGTATCGTGCATCTGTATTGCTCTTATGGAGGCCATACACATTAGGTTTTGCATGATGGTTTTAGCCGTACATGCATAACCGACATGCAAGCCCTAGCGTGTTTGTGATAACACTACAGTTTTCGGTGCATGTAACTTGGTTATGCATGTCGGTTATGAATGCACGGTTAAAACCATCATGCAAAACCTAACGTGTATGGCCTCCATTACACAAATAGTAAGAGTACAATTTATGGACAGCAACTTGACTAATCATTGTTGCAACTGTATTTATTATGTCTTTATTGAGATGTTGCTATTATACAATATAAAGTTAACAGAAGAATTACAATTAGTCGTGTGAAGTGCTAGCATTAGGAGAGTTATATTTCAGGAATCTATGGTGTCGAACCGGGCATGGTTCTCTGAACCTAAAATTAAATTTGATAACAGTATATCTTTGTCATTCTCTTTACAGAATGAAAAGAAGAGACTTAGGTTAAATTTAGTTTTAAGTTTAGAGAATCGTGCCAAATTCGACATTTCTTCATATAAATCCTCATTGGAACAGACTAGGTGCAGTGGACATGACCACACAGAAGAAGGCGATGACAAGCATAGAAACTGTAGAGAGACACGTGGCTTTCGGATTTAAGGCAGGGCTAGTACGCACTCTAGCTAACTTATGTTGGAAGAACCAGGAGAATAAGCGACAGGTATGGAAATACGCTCTCGATAATAAAGAAATTAATTAAAAAATAACACTACTGCCATTAAAAATTGCTACTATATTTGTATATATTACATATGGCCTCATTAATTCAAATGATACCGATATTGATGATAATTAGAAGACTTTTTATATTTACATAAGTAATTGACATTTTAGCATTCCTGTTATTTTAATTTTAACAGTTTAGGTATCCCATCCCATTACACAGATGTGGAGTTACACTCTTTTTTTTCTTGGGCAGTTGTGTATAAAATAGCGATGAAGACTCATTTGCACATTTCTGACAGCAACAATGTGCGAGAGACGATGTCTTATGACGCAGTTACATTTGCTTGTTAGCCCGTATTCAAGTGCCCGAAAGACATTACTGGAATTCGGGCAAACGAACCAATATTTACACTGGAATACTGGCTGGAAGACTGTGTCGGGTAAACAAAAGGAAATCTACCCGAATACGGGCGTACTCGACTCTGTTCATTTACACTAAGTCGTTTATCCGAATTCCATTGACACTCGTATTCGGGCTAACGACCAAGTGTATTTGCGCCATCAGGCTAAAAACTCACTGCACGATTTTCTCCCCAGCCGCGGCTGATGCGTAGAATGTCTCGTAAGTTTTGAAATAAAAAAGTTCTGCGGCTGCCGCGGATGCAGGAAAAACACCTTCGTGAGTTCTTAAACCCCTTCCACTCGACACAATTTGATTGCCAATCTGATTGCCGATTGAATTGGGTACAATCTGGTCGTCCGTCTACACATACACAACAAGATCGCCAATTTCAGTTTTATTTGTTGCCTCTGCTGAACGGACTTGTTTGTATTAGGATGCCTCTTACCAAGAAGCAAAAAATTGGATTAATCTTGGCTCTAACTACAAATGTAGATGAGAAAAAAAGAAAAAGAAGACTGTGGACAAAATAATGGTTATTAAAAAGGAAGCAATTAAGTCACTTAAATATAGTTATATTATATTTAAGTGACTCAATTAATAAACTTAAATATAGTTATACTTAAAGAGTAATATTTTTAAAGAAAATATAACTAGAAAAAAATCCACGCGGACCAGGCAGCAGACGGGACTCGAACCCGCACCCTTCGAAAACCCTTTAAAATATAACTGAGTTATATTTTCTCTAGATTTAAACTTCAAGCAGTTACATGCTTTAAAAATAATAAAAATTATAATTACAACTATTTCTTCTTTCCAATGTTTAATACTTGTAAAAGTATTCATTTGACATTGTGGGTTACCTATAATGCGAAGAGATGGCGCTGTCTTGCAGCTTAAGAATGGCTGGAAGAATTTCGACGCGGTCCGTGAGGCCCGCGGTAGCGTAATTGGTCAGTGCATTCGCCCGGATTGCGAAGGGTGCGGGTTCGAGTCCCGTCTGCTGCCTGGTCCGCGTGGTTTTTTTTCTAGTTATATTTTCTTTAGATTTAAACATCAAGCAGTTACATGCTTTAAAAATAATAAAAATTATAACAGTAATATTTTTATCAATATTTTTCCACTTATTCCGCAAAATCTCTAAGAAATTTTGCCTTGCTTGTTTATTTTTATATAATGGGTTAGACACATCCCAAAGGCATGGCAAGTCTTATCATATCGTTTACATATATCTAAAATCTCCTCCATTACTTCCCGTTCAGATCGAATAGACATAATATTGTCGTCATGTTGCTCCATCTTCTTCTCAAAAGACAAGTCAACACCTGCTCTGAACGCCGCTTGCACAGTGACTACGTTAAAACATTGGCCAGTTAGCGTCCACACCACCCAATTTGATTGGACAATCCCGAATCGGGCGATACCGACCATCCAATAACCTTCAATTTCATATTTCCGTCCACACAACACAATTCGATTGTCAATCTAATCAAATTGGACGTAAAATTGTATCGTGTGGAAGCCGTATTAGCCTTACGCCGCCATTTTATATTGGTTTCTTTATTGGAGCGATTCATATTCGTCTGCTTTGATAGAACTGTGTCTTTTTAATGGACACAAATAAAAAAAAATATCGATTCATGAAAATAATGATTGAATAATAAATCTTTATACTGTTTCAGATGCGCGAGTTGGACGTGATTCAAGTTTTATTGGACTGTTGCAATATCGATGTTCGCAATCCTTGTATCCTTTTGATTTTTAAAAATCTCTGTGTTGGGCTATAATAAATGGACTGGCATATTAATAACTTAGAATAATAGCGCCTCAAAGTAAGGCCAGAAGCTTAGTTCGTTCCGCGAGCTGTCAATGCTCAACGGCATATCGTGGCGTGGAATGCTCGCGAAAAAAATGATTGTTTTTACTATTTAAAAATAGTCCTTACACGTCTGAAAACCAAAATAAAGTGAGAACGTAAATGTATCACACACGTAAAATCAATTATTTATACACACAACTTTTTACAAAACTATGTTGTTAGTTGTGGGAAAAAAAAATTTTTACTTATAACATAATGATATACATGAACATATTCATTCCGCATTCAGCCGTTACAGATTAAGCTAATAGTATAATTTTTCTTCGATTCTTAATATTATCGATGCTATATGTATTTAGAAAGTTGCTTAAATAACTATTAGTTAGTGCAAATAAGTAAGTACCTAGTAATCTTGTTCCTACTCTCATTAGCCCCTTGAATTAGTCAAGTCTGCATGTGAAAATAGCCAATGACGCCTAAAACCTTACTTAGTAACAGTAACACAACACCTCCAAACTATAGTATTATAATTTTACTATTTGATAGAAGAACAACAACTATTAATAAAAATAGTACTTATAAAACTAATAAGACTGCAGATAGCCAATTTCTGTTCATCACTGAGAAATATCATAATTATTTTTTCTTCTTATTTACTAAATGGATGTATTTCATAATGTTAACCTTAACCTTTCTGCCCAGTGATAATGCAGTGGGTTATATTCGCCGTTCGTAATCTATGCGAGAACTGTCCCGAAAATCAGGTAAGGAAATAAGATCATATCCAGGTTTTTTACCACACACCTTAACCTTGTTTCAAAGTAAGTTAACAGAGTAGAATAGATATTCTATCTAGTTAATAAGACGTCAAAAACTAAATTGTATTACGTCAACTTAAGGCACTCATTCCCTGAAGCATGAGCACCTGAATTTACATTATATCTTGTGTTCTTATCGCGTGTAACTGTAAAAATTTGACGACCTCCGTAGCCGAGTGGTTTGTACGCCGGGTTTCAAGGTTTCGCCTACTCGAGAGGTTCCGGGTTCGAATCCCGGTGGAGGCAGATGTCTGTGTCATGAATACGAGCATTTGTACGGCAGTCATGGATGTTTATTATGTATTTATATATAAATATACTTACATATGTACTGTATAAGTAATCTATCCGTTACCCTAGTATCCCTTAACACAAGCCTTACAGTGCTTACTTTGGGGCTAGGCTAATTGGTGTGAGTGTTGGAAATATTTATTTATTTTTATTTAACTGCATAGTAATTTGACAATTGAGCGTGATAAAAACGAGCTATATATCACATCGCGGTGCTAATGCTAGAGAGACATAAGATCTATCACAAATGCGTTCTTTCAGCGGTCGTAAATTAACAATGTTGATAGGTCAACTTTGCTCTTAGACGCCAATTTAAGTTACAATACAATACAAAACGCTTTATTATTACACCACAGAAAACATAAAACATGAAGTACATAATTAAAAAATACGGGTGCGTGTACTTAAGTACGCGCGTGAGAAGTTATACTTCTTTTTGGAATTATTAAAAAATAGTTTTTAATTGCATGCAGATAATTAATTACAATAAGATAATATAAGGATTGGAAAAGGATAGTCAACGCAGTCAATAAAGTTCAGTTTTAATTTGAAAAATTTAATAAATAATCAAAATATTCAATTTAAATCACTACTGAATAAAATTTATTAGCACATATAAATTTCGCATTTGTATAACATTATAACACGTGTTAAGAATATAGAAACTGGAAACATGTGGATAAATATTATAAATATGAAAACAGTGATCAGAGGCGACGAGCGTCCCAACATGTGCGACTAAGAGATGCTATTACTATTTCATTGGAAGCTTTTTTTCGAGACTTACGAGTAATGTGCGGTTTAGCGGCCGACTTCATGGTGTTACTTTTCTGTTACAGTGTTGCGCGCGCATCTTAAAATTTCACTCTCATCATTTTTTCATAACGCGCCCGCGGCTAACATCTTAAAATTTCACTCTCATAATTTTTTCATAACGCGGCTAAAGAAGTATAACTTCAAAAATACAGTATAATAATGGGCGGTCTCATCGCTAAGAGCTCTTCCAGACAACTTTAGGATGGGGAGGACAGGAAAGAAGCTGTAGAGACAGCGGTGTCATTAACTACAAAACAATATAAAAAACATTCAAACAAATATAATCCAAATAAGTATATAAAACAATACATACATATATTTATATACCTACATGAATACATACATAGTCATCAAATATATATACATACATATATATAAATATATAGATAAATACATACATACCCATGTCTCAACTAAGATCAACAAAAATGGAAGGGTTATAAGGACATAATATAGTGAGATCTAACAAGGTTTTGAAAATGTGGAGAGATTTTGCACGTCTTACGGGAACTGGAAGAGCATTCCATAGACGAACGGCTTGTACTGCGAAATAACAGCCATAAAAAGTTGTACTGTGAACAGGAGTAATGAGAGCGAGATTTTCTGATGACCTTAGGAACAATGTGTTCGAAGTGTGAAGGAAATTAAAACATTCCT